CAAAAGTTAGATGTAAGGACCACTCCATGCATCTTTATAAGCTTTGGAGATAAAGAGTTTGGATACAGATTATGGGCCCCAAAGACAAAGAAGACCATCAGAAGCAGGGACGTAGTGTTCCATGAAAACCAGACATTGGAAGACATTGAAAAATGCACAATATCTCCTAATTCCAATTTTGGTACCCTGAATATTGCTCCAGATCTAGCACCAGCACAATTCACCATAGATAATGACGATGTGCATAAGGGAATGTCGAAAGCAGAACAGGAGGATGAAGAAGAGGATGTTGACCAGGGGGAGTCACAATCTTCTTCACCAGAAGTTGTTGGACCATCACATCAATCAGATAATGATGCACCTCCTGAAACTAACGATGCACATGTAAGAAGATCTAAACGAGGATGGATTCCATCAATGAGATATCCGAAATTAGAATACATTTTGTTCATTGATATAGGAAATTCGGAGAGCTTTCAGGAAGCACAAACCCACTTGGACAAAGACAAGTGGATACAAGCAATGTAGGATGAGATGGAGTCACTGCAGAAAAATCAAACATATGAGTTGCTTGAGCTTCTGAAGGAAAAGAAGACATTAAGGATTAAATGGGTTTTCAGGCTCAAGAAAGATGGTAATGGAAAGATGGTAAAACATAAAGCACGTGTGGTAGTCAAAGGATTTCTTCAGAAGAAGGGAATTGACTTTGATAAGATTTTTTCACCTGTTGTAAAAATGGCCTCAATTCGAATTATCCTTGGATTAGTAGCCAGTTCGAATCTAGAGCTTGGACAGATGGATGTTAGAACAACGTTTCTTGATGGTGATTATATGAAGAAATTGATATGGAGCATGATATGGAGCAACCAGAAGTTTTTGAAGTTTCAGGAAAAGAGAACTTCGTTTGCAAGTTGAAGAAGAGCTTGTATGGTCTTAAGCAAACACCAAGGCAGTGGTACAAAAAATTTAACTTGTTCATGGTAAGCCAAGGCTACAAAAGAACTGCTGCAGATCAATGTGTTTATATCCAGAGATTTCCAGATGACAACTTTGTTGCTCTTCTATTGTATGTAGACGACATGTTGATTGTTAGATAAGATGCAACAAAAATCAGCCAACTGAAAAAGGAACTTTCCAAGTCCTTTGATATGAAGAACTTAGGCCCAGCTCAACAGATTTTGGGAATACACATAACTCGAGATAGGAAAAGTAGAAGGTTGTGGCTATCTCAGGAGAAGTATGTTGAGCGAGTGATCAAGAGATTCAACATGCATAATGACAAACCTGTCAGCATTCCATTAACTAACCACTTCAAGTTGAGTAAAAATTCATGCCCGTCATCTAAGAAAGAGATTGAGGAGATGTCATTGACACCTTATTCTTCAGCAGTTGGAAGCTTGATGTATGCTATGATATGTACAAGGCCAGATATTGCTCATGCAGTAGGCATGGTGAGTCGTTTTCTTTCTAATCCTGGAAATGAACGTTGGGAGGGCAGTCAACTGGATTCTCAAGTACCTTGAAGATACATCAAAGATATGTCTGTGCTACGGGGGAGCTGATATAATCTTGGAAGGTTATACACATTCAGATATGGCTGGAGATCTTGATAATAGAAAATCTACTTCAGGATTTCTCTACACTTTTGTAGGGAGAGCTGTATTATGGCAATCAAGATTACCAAAGTGTGTTATTTTGTCTACAATAGAAGTAGAATATATTGCAGCGACGGAAGCAGGTAAAGAAATGTTATCGTTAAAGCGATTTCTCCAAGAATTAGGGATCAAGCAGAAATACTACAAAGTACATTGTGACAGCCAAAGTGCTCTTGACTTAAGTAAGAATTCAATGTACCATTCTCAGACAAAGCACATCGACATCCTCTATCATTGGATAAGAGAAGTGATGGATCAACAAATTCTGACACTAGTGAAGATTCACACAAATGAGAATCCAACAGATATGTTAACAAAGGTGGTTCCAAGAGAAAATTTAGAGTTATGCAGAGACATAGTTGGGATGGTGTCAAATAATAATTGATTTAAATGCGAATGGAAGGGAAGAATTGATAAGTCCAGCCACATTCCAACTGCAATTCCAACTAGTTTTTTTAATCAGTTTCTTCCTTTTGAAGTCACTTAAAATCAACCACAATTTGTTATCAATTTCTTAATGAGCAAGTCTTTCCCATGCTAAAGACAAATTGAAGGCAACCACCTATTTTGACTCTTCAACAATGAACTATGTGGCAGGTTTTTTGGCCAGAATTTTATGACGGTTTGTAGCCAAAATTTTTCTATAAATATATGCTACCACAAAGAGAATTTTGGTGCCCCAAGAGAGAGGAATATCCATTAAAAGGAAGAAAAATAGAGGGTATAGAAGAGAAAAAAAGAGAGATTAGAAAGTGACTTTTGAGAGGTTTTTTAAGAGTTTGTAATACTCCATTGTAAAATTCTATTCAAGTAAGAAATATAATTATTTTTCCTCTTTTTATCTGCTCTTCTCGTGATCGGAGAATCACAACAATTGTTACCATTACTTGTAATAAGCTTTAATCATTTTTTATTATTATGATTTAATATTTTCTTAGTTATGGTATTTTTATTAATTGTAATACGTTTATAAAATTTATTAATGAATTTAATATTTTCAGTAATGAAACTTAATTATTTATGTAGTAATAAATTAAATATATAAACAATTTCTTAGATATATAAATTGTGAAGAATAAAAAAGTGAAGAAATGATTAAACATTATTCATTTGGTGTAATGGGTTAGAGATGATTTTTAATTTGGTGCAAAATAGTGTATAACCTACCTCAATTTTTGGTGCAAGGTTGGAAATGACCTAAGTTGTCGTAAAGGTGGGACCAACTGAAGCCAAAGGCGAAGGCCTGTCTTAGAAACAAACTAGCCATTCGCCTGGCTTAAATTTTATGAGATAGCCACGAATGGAGTATTAGATAGTATCCACTTACAGATCTTGAGTGCAATTTTAGTGTCTCGCAGCTTTTCGTTCCTCACATTTACACGAAATATAAGCTTGTGTTACTAGTATAGTGGCAAAATGTATCAAAACCACCTAAATCAAGACTCAAGGCAAAAAATATTTAGAACACGAGAGAGTTAGGGGGAATGCTTTTGTATTGTATACACTCGTTCAACTTGAACTTGGTGATTTACAAATGACCCCTCTCCTATTTATGGGCATAGCATACTGATATGGATAATTCTCGATGGTGATGAAGCCAGGAATTTTTTTTTCCCCTTGTTCGCACCAACACGTATTTGGAAAAAAAACTTGTAGACCATCAAAATTAAAAAGAATTGTTGATGAATAAACATTATGGTAAAATTATAAGTTGCAGAAATTAAAATGTCGTAGAAATGAGTGGTGGACAATTGGATTTAAGTTGCAAATCTTATGTAATGTGTGGTCAAAATTGATGTTTGACTTTGATCATTAAATTTATAAGGAAATGATAGTGTTTATCAAACATACACTAGATAGAATTCGACAATCCTCATGTTCCAATGTAGAGATTATGAATTGTATGAATACGTATTTTAATTCATAACACAACCAACATTTTTAGAGAAACGACCTAGACAAATTTATAGTAGAAGGAAACAAATTATTGTACAACATATGATGCAGATCAAATAGAAGAAAAATTCTAAACCAATTAGAAAAGATAAGGAACAAGAAAGGATCCACGAAAATGTGCATAACTTTTAGCTCGGGTATCGAATTTTCGTCCATAAGTACAATTCAGAAGTGTCTTTCGATTCTCCACAATTTAGCAAACTTATCAAACTTTTGAGGTTAAATTTCATCGTTTAGGGGTCCCTTTTTTTGGATTTTTCTATTTTTATTAATTTAATGGTATTTTCATCTTTTTAATAGTCTTTTAAGTTTCAATTGGATTTGTTTTACCGTTTCCTAGTTTATTTGAATTTGTTTATAGAATAATCACTTTGATTAGAATTTGTTTTGAGTCTATAAATATGTGTTAAGGTTGTAAAGAAAGAAATGCGTTTTTATTGGTTAATAAGATATTTCAGATTTCTCATTAATTGGTGGATTCCAAATAGACCTCGTTAAAGTTAAAAAGAAATCTTGTTGATGAATAAACATTAGGGTAAAATTATAAGTCCCAGAAATTAAAATATCATGGAAATGAAGGGTGGATAGTTGGATTTTAGTTGCAAGTCTTATAAAATGTGTGGTCAAAGTTGGTGTTTGACTTTGATCATTAAATTTTTAAGGAAATTATAGTGTAGAATTCGACAAACCTCATGTTCTAATGTAGAGATTATGAATTGTATTAATACGTATTTTAATTCATAGCAAGACCAACATTTTCGGAGAAAAAACCTAGACAATTTTATAGAAGGAAACAAATTATTGTATAATAAATGATGCGGATCAAATAGAAGAAAATTCTAAACCAATTAGGAAAGATAAGGAACAAAAAGGATCTACGAAAACATGCATAACTTTTAGCTCCGGTGTCGAATTTTCGTCCGTGAGTGCAATCCAGAAGTGTCTTTTGATTCTACACAACTTTGCAACCTTATCAAACTTTTGAGGTTAAATTTCATCGTTTAGGTGTCCTTTTTGGACTTTTCTATTTTTATTAATTTAAGGGTATTTTCATCATTTTAATAGTTTTTTAAGTTTTAATAGGATTTATTTTGCCGTTTCCTAGTTTATTTGAATTTGTTTATAGAATTAGGGTTTCACTTTGATTAGAATTATTTTTGGGTCTATAAATACGTGTTGAGGTTGTAAAAAAAAGACATTCATTTTTATTGATTAATAAGATATTTCAGTTTTCCCATTAATTGGTAGATTCCAAATCGATGTCACGTCTGTTCAAATGTTCGAACAAACACCCTGTGTTACGAACAAGAACCAATTATTATTATTATTTACGTTTCCATCTGCGTCAATATACATTTTATAATTCATGCAATTGGCGCAAATGAGTGATAGTTAAGTGTAGATAGAATAGGAATGTACTTGTAGTTTTACATCTCGATCTCAATGGGAACTGATATTTTGAATGATACTTTCCTTTCAAAACTGCATAATGTATTTACAATCAACACTACAGTAGTTCTAATTTATGTTTGTGAATAGTTTTTAATAACCAAATTTTACAGATGTGTTGCGACTGTATATACAATTTCTATGGAGAAATCATCCATGCATCAATAGCTGCTACTGATGGAGTTTGAGAGATTGCCTGCTGCAGATACTTGAAAGCCTTTCGATGATTTAGAAATACCATGAACCAGAACTCGAACTCGTCCTCGTTTACTATCTGCACATACTTTTGCCTTGGTTTTTTCGCATTTTTGCTGTCGTAGGCTCTCTTTATTTCACCTAGTGGGATCATGACCTGCAAGGTTTTGGAAACAGTTAGATTTTCATTTTCGAAGAGAAGATGGGATGTAAATTTGTGACTCAAAAAAATTGAAACAGAGTCATATATGCACCTTGTAATGTATTTTAGGCTGTTTTCCAGTTGGAGAAGCGAGTTTAATTGATCTTTCAATGCGGAAGGCAACTTTATCGGTGGAAATAAATAAGAGGCCTGCTATTGGCCCAGCTATGGTCGATAAATAGCATTGGGAAGCCTTTAAAAGCTTTTCGCCATTGCTAACACTGAAGTTCTGCTTGAAAACTTTTTCCAGGCCGCCTGCTCGAAGGATTCTTGCTCCCATTCTCAATTTTCCTTTCAAAGTTTCTGTTAATTTGGGTCCTAATTTCACTGCAGGGATAGAAATAAAGCGAAACATTAGGCCTCATCCCACTTTGCACCGCTTGATTTGAGAAATTCTATTGTATTTGATGGTTGGGAAGGAAAAACGCAATGATATATTGAAATGGTTTCTTGTCTTGAGAAGTTTGTTTCTAGAAATTACTGATAGCCAGTTTGTTGTACAGGATAAAATAGGATTAATAACTAGGAAATCTCTTCCTTAATTATGTCTAGCTCTATCTAGTTGAGCATAGCAAACATCCTCCAACAATGTCTAATAGCAACTGCTACAAATAATCTAGGTTGAGGCTTTACCATGCCCTCGGATTCCTTGCGAAAAATTATCCATCCATTCTCCAAATTTATTCATCCCAAGGATTGCTGAATTTGCTCTGCCTGCATTCCCAAGAAAATCCAGTAAGGCTGTGATTATTGAAACTGGGAATTCCTGGCGAGTTATAAAGACAGAAAATATACGTACTCTTTCTGATTTTGAAAAATTCATTTGAAGGAGAAGGCGCAAAACTGTATTGACTAGCAGGATCCGATAAAAGTCCTTCTGGATATCTGTCCATGCAGTTGATTGGAATTCCAATAACATTTGATTTCTTCATAAATGTCGATTTGCTGCGATGTTCTACCTCCTTACTTTGGTTGTAAGTAATGATATGTTCAAAGACACCAAAGATGAGTCAGATACAAGAAGCTTTCTGGGATTCAAAAATGCATCTTCACCCTTTATATAGAGGACAAGAGTAGTAGTTGGATCTTGAATTTTAGTTGCATGAGTCATGTCTGTGTCAAAAGAAAAGGTGGGGTTTTGACAAAACTGAATTACAGAAAATTTGATATGGGGTGGGGTGGGGTGGGGTGGTCAGTAGTTTAGTTATTGAATCCTCACACAGACTGGTTCTTTAATTGTATGCAGACGTGGAATCCATGCTTTCTGAGGTGGAATGTTTGCTTCTTTATTGAATAAGTGGTCTAAAGGTTTATCTGGTTAACTATTCTTTTTCAAATCCTTTCTTTAAATGAAAATTGTTGCAAGTGTAAAGGTATTGTTTCCATAGTGGAAGAGAGGATCTCCCCATCATCTCCACCTCAATCAATGTTTAATTCAATCTGAAATCTTATCAATTTTGAATGGTTTTGAATAATCTGCCCTTGGACTCTTAGATCCTACCAACCATAATATATATATATATTCTTCTTGCTATAAAGATGAACTAATAATATTATTTGCATTTTCTCTCTTTAATAAAAGATTAAACTATTTACGAAAGAGCTTATGCCCTTGCTTGTGAGTTTCAGCTTATCTACAACGTCTCGTGTAGCTAATGCAGCACCTAACACCTTAAGTAACATTAAAAAGGTTAAAATTGAGGTAAAATTGGTTCAGAAACATTATTCAATGAGTTGTGTACTGAAACCTACTCATATTAGTAGCAAAAGGAGTCGATTGTGAGTTCTGGTTGGCATTTGAACTCAATTATATTAACTTATTAACGGTTTCCTATAAATTTAAAATTTGGTAACGACCAAAGATGAGTCGGTGTTTATAAAACAATTATTTTCTGGTATGGCTTAGGTGACAATTACATGACATTAAATGATATATTCATTTAAATGTAAAGTCACATAACTCATTTAATTGAAATTTTGGTATTAAATAGCATTATTCATTTTACAATGTAACTCTTTGTCGATCTTGACACCCCCTCTCTTGTGTGCTCCCATATTGGGCCTCTAAGCTAGGTGAGCCAGGCCCATATAACAGACACCCTTGACAGACTTGGTCATAAATTTGCATCGTGTTAAGGTCAGTTGTAGTTTTTATGGCCTAAAAACTGATTGTTAAGGTATCAGCCATTTTAATTACATTTTACGAAGTAGGGCTCTAAGGAAAAATCGTCAACTTGGAATTGTCTTTTTAAATTATCAATTTGGTGTCATAGGACATGTTAACAATAAAATAGTTTAGTTTAAATTTCGATATTTTAACTACGGATTGAAACCAAATCAAATCGTCTAAAAATTAGAAAAATAAAATAAAAAAATAAAATTTGCAAACTCAAATCAAGAATTGGTTCGATTGAATTGGACATGGGCCATACTTTCAAATAACAATGTTAACTGTTGACCTCGATATTTGGACCCTTCACGTGGCCAACGGGTAGCTACTCTATGTAATCCTCCCTACGCACAACAACGAACAGTCAGAAGCTCACGGCCGGGACCAGCGGTGGTGGTGGCGATCACATACACTCCGGTTGCTTCATTGGATCTATTCACCTTACAGCACGTCATGTTGAGGTCGTTAGGAATTGGCATCGCTCCAGAACCACTTCGGGTGGACGCATGGAGCTTCGGAGAGTGATGTGACTTTGTGTCGAAGTCGTTTTAGTGCCGAAGTGAAAGTGGCTTGGTTAGGTGCGTAACAGTGGTCCCCCCAAGTTCAGGCATCAATATTCATATCATGTGTGGACTTGTTTTCCCGACTGTGTATGTCGGCCTTGGAGTAAGTATTGTGGATTCTGATGAGGTGCTAGCGTAAAAGGGTGAAGTGAGCAGATGTGCCGAACACCTGTTGGTTGAGGTGAGTGATAACCGAGGTGATGTGGGCGGGGCGTCCTCTGGGTCGATCATTTGTTGTTTAGTTATGAGCTTTCAGTGTTCTGCTGAGTCGTATGAGGTGATTTCACTAGGGGAATAGCACTTTCGCCATCGATGTTCCGACCCAAATGGGACGACACGTTGGGGGAAGGCGCTTCGTAAAGCTTGAGGGAACGTGCGATTGAGGAGGTGACCCACAGGGGACCCAGCGTCAGTGGCACCGAAGCTTATAAAGCTGGGTGAAGAGATCATCTTTCAACCATGCGCTGACCCACAGGGACGACGTGTTGGGAGATGGTTAAAGCCTTGTGAAGCTGAGGAAACGTTCGATCGAGGCGGTGACCGACAGGGGACTCCACGTCAGTGGCGCCGAGGCTTGTAAAGCTAGGTAAAGAGCTCATCTGCCACCAGTACGCTAACCCACAAGAGACAACGAGTTCGGAGATAGCTAACGCCATTCAAAGCTGAGGAGTTGTGCGACCAAGGCTATGACCCGTAGGGGACTCCATATCAATGGCACCAAAACTTTTAAAGCTGGGGAGTGCATTCATCCGAGGTGAATTGGGACAGATTATCTTTGATCTGAAGTGCCTTATTATGACGTTAATTGATGTGACAGCTGTCGCGTATTTCCAAGGCGAGAGTTGGATGCGATGCCCGTCCCCAGAAAAAGGGCTGCTGTGGCCACTTGTTGCTGACGGTTGTTGCTTGTCCGAGGTAACGCGTTTTATGCGTACGTGAGGGGCACCTTAAGATCTTGGATGTTGATCAAATCTGGCGTTTCATTTCAACGATCCAGATTTGTGACAAGATGAACGGTCTAGATGGACATCGTTTGAATTCAACGGTGGAGATCATCTGGGGTTTCCTATAAAAAAGGGGACTTAGTGCCATTCGAACGTTTTCACCTTTGTAAACTCAGAATCCATATTGCTTTCAGATTTGTTGGCGATTTTCGGCGAGCTTCGAGCGTTTTCGATGATATTCTCAGTTTTCGACAAGTACAGACAGCCATCTGTTATTTTTCGACCATAGAAAACCCCAACCCATTCATTTCAGTAAGTATTTTTCTTATTCTTCGCGTTATTTTTGAAATCTAAGAATAGCTTCTGAGAGTAGTAATGCTTCGAAAAGGGAACTGGACGTAGTTCGGGTGGATGAGCCTATATTGGCGACGTCCGGTGAGGTGGCTAAGGCCATAATAAGGGAGAAGAACATCTGGCGGAGGCCTGATAGCCCAGTAGATATGTTAGAACATTGGGGGGCTTCTGACTGCCCATCGAAGTTAAGAGAGGTCGACCTGGGTAGACTTAGAGCAGAGTATAGGATCCCTGATAGCATAGACTTAATATTGTCAGAGCCTGATGAGCGAGCCTGTTACCCTAGGTCGGGGTGTACAGCTGTGAGTGAAGCGCTCTTTAGGGCTGGACTTACGTTTCCAATCCACCCTTTCTTTTGCTATTTCTTGAGGACCCATGACTTGGCCCCGACCTAATTGAACCCAAATTCTTGGAGCCAAATGGTGGGGTCATGGATGTTATGGAAGGAGGCGTCGTTCGGATTAGAGATGTCATTCTCAGTGTTTCAAACTTTATATATCCCCAAGGTAGCGGCGGGGGGTGATAAGACTAGGGGGTGGTACTATCTGACTTCATGGGGTTCCCACACTCCATTTGTGCTCGATCTGTCGAGCTCCATCAACGAATGGAAGAGCTCATGGTGCTGGGCTTTAGGGAGATGGGATACAATGGAGGGGGACCCCTTGGCGCCTCTTATAGTCCCCACAAAGTATTCTACACTTAATGAGTATTGAGCTTTGTGACTTTTTGTGTTTCTCATCAGCTCGGAAATTAACTATTTGTTATTCTTGTAGATACTCTTCCTCGGTGCGAGCTTTCTTCCGAGGAGTTCAAAATAAATTGTATCGTCTATCAGCTTTTGCTGAAGAGGAGGTCTTATAACAAGCTCATCAGGAAGAACGTTCACTTTGTTACGTACAAATTGATGGCCTCCCAAGGTAACTATCTGGAGTGCATCTTTTATAATTTGTTTCCGAACTCATTGTACTTGTGCTAATCCATTTTGTTTTACTGTAGACGATTTTAACAAGAAGAGGTCGGTGAGGCCCGACTTTAAAACTATCCAACAGATGATGGCCGAGGTAAGGGCCTGAAGACCTCCTCCTCTGCTTATAAGAAGCAAATGGAGGGCCTAGTGGTTGCAAACAAGTAGCTCCAGCCTGTAGCAGAGGAAGAGGAGGAGGATCCAGAGGCAGCTCTCCAAAGAAAGGGGAAGAGGGTTGCCAGTTCATCGAAGGGGCCAACAGTGGCAAGGGCTGTCTCGATCCTTCTTCAAACAACAATCCCCACCAGAGTGACTATAAAAGAGAGGACAGTGGCCCCTGCTGCTGCGCCAATCGCCCCCCGATTTCTACCATTCCAGTCACACAAATGCCGGGACAGCAGAGGAGAAAGAGGGCTCGCCCGGAGAAAGATGTGGACTTCTTGGGCACCAATAAAGAGGAGCCGGTGAGGAAAGTGTTAGAGGACTTGCCTTCGGAGATGGTGGCCGTTGCCTTGGTCCATAACAAGTATTGGACTGAGGAGTGGAAAGACCACACAGCCTTCTACACTATCGAAGACCTGGTGGCTGCCAACAGTGCTTGCATCGCCCGGGCTCTGAGCACGAGCGTTCAACTTCAGAGCTTGGTTAAGGACCTCGACGCCAAGAGGGAGGATCTGGTTAAGCCCCTGGAGGAGGCGCTGCACTACGGGGATGTGGTGTGAGCCGCCTAGGCAAAGGCCTCGGAGGTGGAGGAGGCGAGGTAAGAAGCAAAGGGCCTATTGGTGAGGTCTAATGCAGAGGTAGAGAGACTGAAGAAAGAGATATATGAAGTGGAGTGCCATGTGGCTGCTATGTTGAGGAGGGTTTCCGGCTCGCCACTGAGGCTCTAGAGGCCTCCAACAAAGAGAAGGTGGAGTTGAGGCAACTGGTGGAGGCCCAGGCCGAGGAGATCGAATCTCTGAAGGTCGAGGTGAAGGCAGCATATTTGTCTGGATCTTGACATGACGTCTCCATAGATCTAGTTGACATGACACATATACTTTATGTCAACTCAACTAAGAAGAACTAATTGCCCACCCACGCTAGACG